TCTTTCTCCTAAATCTGAGAAAAAAAACGGCGAGGACGGGAGGAGGGGAGAGGAGAGTACGCAAGAAAGTGATCTTTCCAATATTGAAGAGGAAACAGATTCTAAACTACGTTCACAGGGTTTAAGGTGCATCTTTTGCGAGGAGTGTTATTCAAGTGATACCAGAGGGGAATCTTGGGTACAGTGTCATAGCTGTCTTTTGTGGGCACACAATGAATATGCCGGTGCAGAAACTGAACATTATATATGCAATTTTTGCCGATAGATTTTTGTATTTCTTTAATATGGCCCCTGGGGGCCATATTAGATTGATATTTTTGTTTTTCACAGTATCCTAGATACCGAAAGAATAGTTTTTTATGTTCGATCCAATTTTTTTATAATTTTTAATATACTGTATTAGTATTAGAATAATTTATTATAAAATTTAATAAAAATAAATATAAAAAATAAGTTGAGAACTGTTTGTTTTTTAATTGTTAATTTCCATAGATTCTAACAAAGATTGCTTAAGGTCTTTATTTTCAAGCTGATGAATTTTAAATTCGTCACTAAAAGATTGATTATGGTTTAGAAGATGAAGTGCGTATGTAGAAATTGTTTTTCCATTATTGAAAGCCCTGTTATGTTCTGCTATTCGTGTACTACAATTTCTACCAGTTTGACCGCTTTACCGCTGTTCTTTTCCATGAACGCGTTCCCAGGCAGTTCCTGGCATCCTCATCGACTTCGTCTTCCCATCTCTTTTTAGGTCTTCCAACAGGTCTTTTCCCTGCATTCTTGCATTTAGTAATATTCTGTGGATTCTATTCTCATGCATGCAGGCCACGTGCCCTGCCCACCGTAATCTCTGCAGTTCAGTGTATTGTGCTAGAGTTGGTTCGCTGTATTGCTCGTATATTTCTCTATTATACCTAATTCGCCAGTTGTTGTTCTCACTTATTGAGGATTGCTTCCTCAAGTTCCTTTTGAATAAGAGGTCTGAAGCGGGTAGACATGGCTAAAAACCTACAACAAAAGTATATTTTGTTTGAGCACAAGCAATTCAAAAATAACCCACAAATATTTCAAATAGTTACTCTCATGCGCAATGTGTCATATATGTAACAACCTATTTCAATTCCATTCTCAGTGGAAATCTGACTAGTATTTGTTTTTAAAATAATGCATTGAAGAAAAACATACATACCTTATACAAAATAGATAAAACTACAACACAATAACTTGTAAATAACACCCACAAAACTAAATTCTTTGTACAAGCTTCCGGACGTGCTAATCCTGTAAATGCCGATGCGAATAATATGGTCCGTTATTTCATTGAAAATAGCTTTAGACTAAATTCGACTTTATTATTATTATAAATAAGGTTGTAGCAGAATGTACACACTGCGCAGTGTAGCTTTAAACGTATTTAAATTTAAAATAACTGCTCTGAAATCGAGACGTGCCATATCTGTTACACCGCGCAATGTAGGGTTAATATGTAAAATCTACTGTTTCTTTTTGTACAATTACTTAAGGACCACCCTGTATATATATTAAATGTTTGAATAATTGATAAGGGATACGAGGTTTAAGAAAAAAAGAAATGTTCTTAAATATAAATGGAAATTGCTACTATATAATAATGAAAATCAAAAATATTTCAATATACACCTCTATTTAAATGCAAATACTAGATATCTCTACTACCACGCATATAATTTACAACAAATATGGGCTGCTCTCACCACCATAAAATCAATATTGGTTTATCCTCCTCTCCACCTACTCAGATATTCTTTTGCCTGCCATGATAAGTAACTGATACTTAAGTAAGTACAGCTGACATAACCATAGTAATGTAAATGGCGTAATGTTTTATTGGTATTTGCAATACATAAATCAATATATTATGTACGAGGAGGATTATACAACCATATTAATGGTGTGGTTAACTGTAGCGGTTAACGAAAGAACCACATCCTGTATATACCTTTGCCGTAGTTGGTCATAAACTAAATTAAAATGCAAGAAAAGCCATAAAGATTTAATATCCATTTTAATTTTTTTGTTTATTTAAAAGAGAGACCAAAAGAGTCTAAAAAGACTTTATTTAGAAGACTCTTTTTTAAATAACAGAAACTGTGGTATAAAAATATTAAATATTAAAAATAGGGAATTTGATAGATCTCAAATATGTAAACACGCATGGGATAATGAACATAGAAATTCAAAAATCAAAGAAGCGGCTCTAATTATGCTAAATGAGACGAATTGTGTCACAAATTCCTCGGCAGAATGTAGTAGGATCTTTTTACCCATATTAAAAGAGAAAGTTATTAAAAGGAAAATACCAATATTAATCCGTAACATATAGAGGATACATCATTTATGTTTTTTTAAATAACAAACATATAAAATCTGACTTTGGTGTTTATTGAAAGTAAACTAAATGCACGACCAAATACTTACCATGTCGGTTTTCCTGGATTTTCCCTCATAATTTACTATAAAATCACTAACACGAGAATTTTACTGTCATTATGGCATGTGTTTATCTTTTTATTGAGGAGTTACGTGCTATAACTTTTTTCTGACGGATATTCTCAAGTTAAAGTTAATTTCATGTAATCGAATGAACTATCCTACAAGTAAAGTCGTCCCAGGAACGCAACTCAACAATATTGGCAATATCATTTAAAAGTCTACTTTAAAATGTATAATGTTTGTCTGAATTGTCAATATAAATGAGTCACATAAAATTAAATTACTAGAAAAACTTTTCACCAAGTAACAAAAAAACAAAATTTGTTTAATTTACTAATGTTTGTATTTTGAAATTGATTTCCGAAGTAGAAATTGAAACGTCAATAAACATACTTTAACCTTTAATTGTGGCTTATTCTCATTTAAATAGTAATTGTGATTTCCAGGTTTGGACTCCGCGTTAAATAGTTTTGGTTTTTTGAAAAACCGTTGTTTTGGCGACGTTTTGGCAAGGTCACACTTGCCATTGTCAAGTTAGATTAGTTCTGCTTCTTCTTGATGTTCCAGGAGAACTGATTTCTCGGTGCTGAACGCTCTGTTTAGATACCTTTTAGCGCTTCTTGTAATTGGTTCTGTCTGCAGAGTGGGCGGGGTCTTCTTTGCTATTCTAATTTTAACATTTTTCTGCAGAATTGGTTTCCACGTATTTGGGAGTCTTTGAGCATCATCTCTGGTATTTAAATTTTTTGGATGTTTTTCGATCTCTATGGCTTCCCTGATTACACGTTTGGCTTTATTTTTGATGTTGGCTAGCATTGTTGTTTCATTTAAGTTTATTTTGGCTTCTGTGTTTATGGCATGTTGTGCTAGGGATAAAGTCTTCTCTTTTTTTTCGATGGCGTTTCGATGTTCTTTGCGTCTAACTTGTATCCCTTGATTTGTCTGTCCGATGTACGATTTATCGCAGTATTCACAAGGAATTCTGTATACACCTTGATTTTCCAATGCAACTTTTGTTTTTGTCGATGGTAATATGATTGCGATTTTTCTATCGGTGTTAAAAATAGTTTTTTTAGCACTATGCTGATTTTGTCTGTCGTACCCTTTATATAGGGCAGAATAGTTTTTCCAACTGGTTTTTCTTCTTTTTTTAGATCTTTGCTTTTGTTTCGAGATTTCTGTGCCTTTTCAATCGTAGACATGGAGAAGCCATTTTTTCTTAGAGCTGTTTTGACTTTGTACATTTCTTAGTTCTTATGGTCATCATCTACCAATTTCTCAGATCTTGTTACTAAGGTTTTTATTACCGAATTTAATTGTGCAGGATGATAGTGTGAGTCTGCGTGTAAGTGCCTGTCAATATGGGGTGGTTTTCGGTATACTGTATGTCTTATGCTTCCGTCTTCTTGCTTAATAACTAACACATCTAGGAATCTAAGTTGTTGGTTATTCTCCCGTTTCATGTTAAATTGTATTTTTGGATGGATATTATTAATATGTTGTAGGAATTCATTAAGTTTGTCTTCTCCATGCGTTCAGATAAAAAATGTGTCGCCAACATACCTAAGCCACAGTTTGGGTTATGCGCTGCTGTTGCTAATGATTTCGATTCCATACCTTGCGTAAAAATGTTGGCTATTACGGTTGATAGTGGTGAACCCATCGGTGCTCCTTCAACTTGTGTACCTCTGTTTAAGCAATGCCTCGTCAAGTTTAATGTATCCTGTGTTATTGGATATTTTCTACGTATAATTTCCTGTATTATACTGTAAGGTACTCTATAGAAAATAGGGACATAAGTCTCTTTTACAAAACACAATACCGTCAAAAAGTCAAAGTCTGGACTGGTATTTTAGTTGACAACGTAGCTAGCCCATTTTTCATTGTGAATATTTTCTGTAGTCGTAAATACCTAGATCTCTTAAGATATCACATAAACCTAGCAGTTGAGCATTACCACTAATATGGATGATATTCGGTTGCAGCAAGATGGCTGTCCAGCTCACAATGCGAAAAGGGGTGTTAGATATTTTAAATATTAGGTTTTCAGATAGAGTTATTAGTACAAAAGGTACCATAAAAATGTCACCTCGCACCTTTGGACTTTTTCGTATGAGGTTATGTAAACCACAAATTTACCGATAGGAGCATGAACCTGCCGGAAATTTAGACGAAGCCTTTTAATTAAAAATAAGGTTTTATTTGGTATTTTTCAAATAATATCTTTGAAACCATATTTTTGTTTAGATTTTTTACAAGTAGTAGGTGTGAAAATAAAATTAGATATATAAAAATAACATAAAATAGAAAATAATTCCAACACTAGTGCTTAATTAAAAATAATTCCAAACAATTAGAAACTATAAACCAAATAAAATTCTTAGCGAATTAAAATTTAAACATACCACCAACTTGTGTCAAATAGAAACCAAATCTCTTATAAAACGCCTTTCTCATAGCGTTAATTTAATTTATGAAGATAATTTTAAGATATTAAGATTTTATTTTTATAATTTTGCTTGTTTTAGATCCAGGACTTCAGATTCTTGTGTCCCAATGGCACTGCATTTGATCAAGATCATCAGATATGTGCAGAATGGGAAGACATTGACTGTGATGCCACTACTCTATACTATTCCAGCGATAACTTTGACCTCTATCGTCTTGGATCAGGTAAGAATATTATCGAAGGCAACCTTAATCAGACACTTTTATTTTTGCTAGTCATGTTAAGAATGAAATGTATATTACAAGTAGAATGTCAGCGAATGACATTCTATATTTGTAAGTCAGCATAGCTTCTTCTAAATGTGCCTATCTTCTAGAGATGTTGGCGACCAAATTGACTCATCTTATTCTATTCACAGCAGCTCAAAATAGATCAGTTGAAATTAGACCAGTCCATTTCCTAAGCTTGTCCAGCCAGAATGTACGTCTACGTCCAGAGTCTCTCTTACCCTCAATCTTGCCCTGTAGAATCAACTGTAGAATAGATTTAAAATTTCACCTTGCACCTCATCAGGTCCTGGTGATTTCCGATCTTTAATCCGCTTAATGGCCTTAGTTACTTCTTCGTTTCTTCTTTTATTTTCATTTATCAAAGTTTACTTTTCCTGAGTCCTACCCCCTCACTTCATTAATACAAAGCATATTTATACCTAATATTTATGATAGTTTCAAGTTTATGATTATGTTACGTATTTTTTGGGAGAAAAATAAATTTTCGGCACCTCAGGTAAAACATTATAAGGAAGGGGTTACTACGATTTTCTTCTTTTTCTACTTTCAAGCGTTTCCTGTCATTTCTAGCAGGAAAATGTTTACAGATATTTTTATACTTTAAGAATTATCAAATGCTATTAAACTTTTTCAGGAAAATAATAATAATAATAATATATTATTAATATACATGTTAAATCAACTACTTTTATTTAAATATTTTCAAGGCAGAATAAACAGAATTAAGTGTTTACTTATCAAATTACATATGTTGTCTTTGTAAGAAACACAATTATATTCAAGTCATGATGAAACGCCTATAACGACGTGTTTTTGTAGACTATATGTTCTGAAATATATAACAACATAATGAGATGTTGTTTGGAATTAGGCGATTATATCGTTGAAAATAATAGTGAGAATACTTTTTTGTGTCACTTTTTCTTGAAATAATCAAATTGTTGAATAATATTTTTGCAATTGTCGTTTTAGATCGCGTGTTAAAAAACGGTAAAGTGAGTTTAAACAAACAAGTAATATTTCAAACATTTTTAATTCAATTGGTTCTTAATCTTGGCAATTAACCCTGCTATACCGTTTGAGTGAACTATGCAAATGTACTGCTTGGGTCAATATGACCCAACTATGGTTTACAGTTCTTAATCGAAATTAAATACGCTAATGGTGCTACATAAAACTTTATTAACAATAAATTAAAGTTAATTAACCAAAAATAATGTTGCTAATGTAAATTAAATCTTATTAGCAAAAATAAAATGCAAAAGCAAAAAAAAAAACAAAAGCAAAAAAACAAAAGCCCAAGAACAAATAACTACAAAATTTAATTTAGTTCACAACTGGAAAAGTAATAAAAAGAATGGATTTCACAAATATGTTTGTGACATATACAACATAAAATATTAGTCTTGTTATCGTTACTAGAGCGAATTTTACAGCATGCTCGGTTAGCACGCGGAGTTAGATTGTCCATACATAGTTCATTAGAATTTCTATCTTCTCTACTCGTTTCTGTTCGTGTTCTTTTTACCAGTTCTTGTGAGACGTTAGTTTTTGGTAAATTTTTCCTGGAAAGGATAAGTGGTTTCACCAGTGTTTTTCCTAATTCCTCAAGAAAAATTCCCTGTTTTGTAAGTTTGTTGGTGTTCCATTGGGGATTTATTGATGTCCATAAAACGAACGCGTTTGTTGCCACAGATGTCCAGCATATTATAAAAAATAATCATAGGCCAGCGATTTGTCTTCCTCTTACATGTATATGTACCAACAAGGTGATCTAGAGTACTCAGTGCTCCCTTACTGGAATTGTAATCCAAAATAATTTGGAGCTTTTTGTCATTTTTGCCACTAATAGCCTTATCATGATGCAAAGTACTCATAAGAATTTTTGTTAAAGAAAAAGAACATTTTTATGCTTTTTAGGAATATAGTTAACAACAGTAATAAGTTGTCCTAAATTGTATAATGTAAAAAAGATATCACAAGTAATATTGTGGCATTTCAAAACACTACACAAGTCGCATACCACAGGCATTTCCTGATTAAGTTCCGGCGCGGCATCTGCTTTCTTTCCTATATAGAGGTGCAATTTTAGAGCATACTAACTTAAACTGTTACACAAAGCCCAAATTTTTTATGCCATATTTTGCTGGTTTGCTTGGAATGTACTGTTTGAACAAACAGCGGCCTCTAGCAACTGATTGCTCGTCGACGGTAACATTTTCATCAGGGTTAAAATATTTTGGTCGATTTTCTACCCATTTTTCCCAAATTTCACGTATGACAGCAAGTTACCCCCGAGTTGCCCTCAAGAAATGTATCTCGGTAACAGAAGGGCACAGGGCAATATCGAAATTGCTAACCTTTTTGCTGAATTCTTCTATGGTGTATATGAGAAAGATAAAGATGCTCCCATTCCAGATTTTAAAGACTGTGTCAGACACATGGACTCTGTAAACCTAATTCAAGTTGACACTATATCAGTGTTTGATGAATTAAGAAAATTTCCAAACAAATTCTGCTCAGGGCCTGATGGAATCCCACCGGTCTTATTAAATCACTGTCTATGCTCTCTTTCTATGCCCCTTAAATATCTTTATAATTTATCTCTTATGACTGGTGAGTTCCCTCCTTGCTGTAAGAACAGTTATATTGTACCATTTTTAAGTCAGGTAAAAGAGAGGATGTTGAAAAATACGAGGAATTTGTATACAGTCAGCAATCCCAAAACTTCTCGACAAACTAGTGACTTCTCACTTATCAAAACTAACAGATAATATAATAATATCCTAACAGCATGGCTTTCAAAGGGAGAGGAGCACAGTGTCAAACTTGTTGTGCCTTTGAGAGGAAGTACCAGGTGGACAGCATCTATACTGACTTCTCAAAGGCATTCGATAAAGTAAATCATCGTTATTTAATCAGTAAATTAGGAGCCATTGGTATAGATGGCAAATGACTTGAGAGTATTAAGACAGAACATTAAGATAAATGGTGTGTTGTCTCAATCTGTTGACGTCCTCTCTGGAGTACTACAGGGGTCACATTGTGGTCCTCTACTTTTGTCCTCTTTGTTAACGACGTTGAAAAAGTCATTAAGAATTCAAAATTTCTGCTGATGATAAAAAAATTTATAAAGTCATTACTTGTCAGTATGATCAAATTCAGTTACAAGAGGATCTCAGCAGATTTAGCGATTGGTGCAAACTAAATGAACTAAAATTTAACATTGACAAGTGTTGTGTTATTACTTTTCACAGAAAACAAACAACTTTAAATTACGATTATAGCATTGATAACACTCAGCTGTCAAGGCGGGACTGTGTTAAGGATTTAGGTGTTTATTTTGATTGTAAATTAGCATTTCGTAACCATCTAAAGGTCACAGTAAACAGTGCATTTAAAAAATTAGGGTTTATAACTAGAAACACTTCTCAATTTTCATGTTTTGTTTTACCAATTCTTTTTAATTAGTCTCATTCGCTCCAGACTAGAATATGCAATAGGTGTATGGGGACCTTACCATCAAACCTCTATAGACAAGCTTGATCGTGTTCAGCATAAATTTGGTAAACACTATCATTACCGTAGTGCTTTTCTTGACCTTTCTGTCCCATACAGTTATAGTATGATAGCTGATCACTTAAAAATGGTTTCTATGAATCGGCGAAAAGATTATTTTTGCCTAATATCAGGGTTGAATACCGCAAGGTAGGTACGTGCACACTTATCTTAAAAACTTTGTCATCAAATTTGTAATCGTTTTCCAAAACTTCAGTCTTCTGTGTGATCTGCTCTCAGTTCTTTCACGATTTTGAAGGCATTTCCATTTATGAAAGTTCAGTATTTTGACAATCCAAAATTGTTACAAGTACCGAGGACCAGATCTGACTAAACAACTATTAAAACCAATCCAATAATTAATAGAACCACACAGAATTCCTCAAGAATGAAGATCAAGCATTCTAACTCCTCTCTTTAAAAAGGGAGACAAATTAAACCAGTAAAATTACAGAGGAAATAATTTATTAGGAAAATCTCTGACGATCCCAGTTCTTTAAAATGTGCTACATTTGTTTGATTAATTGTCTGTTCTGGAATTTGTTCTTAAATAATTTGCATAATTCTATTATTCTTTAAAAAAATCCAAAAGTATTTATGCAAAAGTGATTTATCTGATTAATTAGTACAATTTTTGCTAGAAATTCAAGCAATAATATCTAAAATTATCAACTTCTCATCACATTCCTCTACAATTATTATTAAAACTGACATTTTGATTACCTTTGTCTTTACAAACAAATCAAGTAGTGTAGTAATTGGAATTATAATCCTTTTTCATACCAATTACACATTTGAAATTCTTCAGATACCATCTTCTATTTTAAACTCACCACAAAAGTCATTAAGTCGTTATTTCAACAACTGAACGTCATCTAAGGAAAATGATACTCGTTTGTGCGTTACGACATAAAATTATTCAGTTATAGCTGTAATTTTTCGCAACTAAGATTGTAGTTCGGTATCGCTGAACAAAACAGAGATATCTCCGGGGTATTTCAAAAATGTTAACAGTAATGTTGATGTATCCTATATGGTAATTTTCAACAGTGTGCAATAAGGCAACTCTTTCAAGTGCATTTTATAACCTGAATTGAATAAGTCGCTTTTGCAGACGAGATCCGAACACTGATATTGTTTAAATAAGAGTGGCGTAGAAAATGTGGGCTTTAAATAACTGTACTAATATACAAATAAAGTGATATATGGTTAAATGCTCTAACAAATGAACTTTAATCAAATAAAAGGCAGATATAGAGTACAGTTTTTAATTAAATCTTGCCGAAGTAGTTTCGCTCTCAGAGCATCTTCAGGGATATCTGAAATAAGCCAAGAAACGGTTTTTTAAGTGAAGAAAGATTAATTAACTTGAGTTA